GGGGGGGTCTCCCAATCTGGACCCACGTGGAGGGAGACAGAGGTTTGTGTGTGTCTTGGTGATGGGGAAGATGGCCTGAAAGATTAAGGAAGTAGATCCGCACTTAAGAGACAGGGGCAGGGAGAGGGAGACAGAGGAGCAGACTTAGAGGTCAGAGAGACAGCGGGATGAGATGGATGGTACGAAGAGGTGCAGAGAGGAGGAGACAGAGTAGGAAAAACAACCAGTCACGAATAGAAACAAGCAGGGGACCAGCAGTTACTGTAATGGCTATGTCGCTGGACTCCCAGGTAGTCAACCGAGGTTTCGCGTCCCGGACCCGGTGACTTAAAACTCACGCCGGGTGCGTGTGCATGCGTGCCCAAGATCCCGAGGAGAATGGAGGAGAGACCATCCCCCCTGGGGAGTGATTTCTCGCTTTCTGTCTCTCTGTCTCTATCTGGCGAGCGCACTCGCCCTATAGCAAAAAAAAACTCTCAAAAAATAAATAAATAAAAAATAATAATAAAAAAAAATAGAAACAGGCAGGCGGCCGAAGAGGGTACAGAAGGACAGATGGGGTGGGGGTGAGAAGAGGAGCGGAGTAGACAGGCAGAAAGGCAAGTACAGGGAAAAAGAGACACACAAATTCTGGGGCCAAGAGATGGGATAATGGCTGCGTCGCTGGACTCCCATGTAGTCGACAACAGTTCAAGTCCCAGATCGGTGGCTTAAACTCACTCTGGGTGCATGTGTGTGCATGCATGCCCAGGATCCAAAGAGGAGAATGGAGGAGAAGGGCCAGGATCCAAAGAAGGAGAATGGAGAAGGGATGGCGCTGTGGCCATCCCCCCTGGGGGGGAGGTGATTTCCCACTTTCTGTCTCTCTGTCTCTGTCTGTCTGTCTCTCTCTCTCTCTCTTTCTGATGCATGTGCCCCATAGCAAAAACCTCTCCAAAAAAAAAAAAAATGAAACACACAAACTCAGAAACAGGTGGGGCAAGATGGGCTCACACAAGCACCTGTGAACAGCAATAGGCAGTCAGGCCCAGTCACAGATGAGAGACACAGAATGGCAGATAGACAGGTGGACACAATCAGACACATCCCCATGAGTAGATGAGACTGTACACACCAGCCCAAAGAGACAAAAGGACAAAGGGAGTGGTTGAGGCAGAGACACTAGAAGACAACAGGCAGAGAAAGTCGGATCCAGGCAGAGAGGCAGATAGTACGGACAGACAGCACTGGGGATAGCAATGGGGCAGGGTTAGACACAGCCAGATCATTATATATGGGCAGACCTCAGACAGCCTAGCCAGGAGGGGACTCTAGATCTTGGGGGCCTCCAGAGGGAGGCAGACAGGGTATTTGTGGTTGGGTAGGGAGTGTGAACACAGTCTGTCTACAAACTGGGGCACACCCTAGAGTCTTGGACCCCAGCCCAGGCATGGGGTGGGATCTGTCCACACCCTGAGGAGTCCCGCCTTCTGTCTATCTGTCTCATATGAGGTCTGTTCATTCCCATCCAGGTATGTGACAAACATGTCTGTCCCAGGCAATGCATGTGTTCCCTACAGGGAGACAGAAAGTGTAGACTTGAGGTCTGGGTCCAACTAAATTGGGCTACTTGAAGCCCCCATGGACAAGAGGCCCCTATCTAGGCCCCTTGGCCTCAGCTACCTGTCTACCCCCACACAGGGAGCACAGAATTCTCAGAAAGGTCAAGAGCTGACTGGGGCTTCAAAGCTAACCTAGATGCCTCCACTCTACACACAGTAGGAGGAAGGCAAGGACTTCCCCACAGCAGGAGAGAGATTCCTGCTCATTCAGGGATCACAGCTCTCACAGTCCCCCTCAGAGCCCCATCCAGGGGCTCAAAGATGAGGGCAGACTCGCCATCACCCACCGAGGTACAAACAAATGTACATGTAGACACAGCTACACATAGAGAATACAGGCTGACAGACAGGAACGCAGACTCACCACTGCACAGAGAGTCAGGGCTCACTGTGTGGTCACACACATGCACAGCCAGGCAGAGTGGTGATAGTCTTACAGTTGGCAGCACTCATGAACTCAGAGCTGCATACCGAGCACAGACTGACACAGGGATGGGCTCATAGAGATTTACACTCACTACGGATTCACAGACATCATCACCCATGAACTCACAGTCAGGCCAAAGAGCAACGGGCAAGTCACAGCTGTGGACAAAGATGATTATGCACAGTCAACAACATCATGCATGGGCTCTGCGTCTTTCTCACACACACAGTTCCAGGTTCAGATGGTATCAGAGGTTAACTTCCGGATTCAGGTCCTAAAATGACACTGCACACACCTGAACTTCTATGTGCACTTATGACCACTTAACCACATAAAGTTCTGGTCACAGAGAGAGAGGTGTTCACTGCCAGAACACACACACACACACACACCCTCCCAGCAGCTTTCTCCTTCCCATCTATGTCCTCTGATACTCCTCCCCCACCCAGAGCCATTATACATCTGCGCTACAGGGTGGCCAGGGAAAGAAACATCTGTCAGCAGAAGCCTTGGCCCAGGTGGCTAAAGGGAAGAGGGGGAGGAGGCATGTCTCTAGATTTCAAGATGACTGAAGCATATTGTCCAAAGGACTAGTGTACTTTGAACAAAAAATAGACACCCTTCCCACCCATCTATCACCTCTGGACCACAGCCTCCTGCACTGACTACTCCCCTACCCTCCCTGGGCCTTCCTCAACTCTCCAACATTCCCCAGCACAGGGCTACCATGCCCACAGGAAGTGCTCAATCAATGTCACTTATCAAATGTAGGATTATTATCATTATTAGTTTTATTTCTGCCAAGGGAACTCTCTCAGGATAGGATGAACTTTGGTCCAGCTCTAAACCCCATAGCTCTGCTACATTTCAGAGCACCGTAAACTGCAGGTGCTTAACATATGCTAGTCAAAGGAAAAGCACAGGGAAAGTGAGATCTGGGATCTGGCTGTGCAGGGCAACCTACTTTAGAAAGAACAGATGTCTTTTTTTTTTTAAGAATTATTTTATTTGAAGAGGTTTTTGCTATAGGGCATGTGTGCTCGCCAGAATGACAGAGAGAGACAGAGACACAAAGCAAAAAATAACCCCCCCAGGAGGGATGGCCATGCTGCAATCCCTTCTCCTCCATTCTCCTCTCAGGATCTTGGGCATACACGCACACGCACCCGGCGTGAGTTTAAGCTGGAGGGTCCAGGACTCGAACCACGGTCGACTACATGGGAGTCCAGCGACATAGCCATTGCACTAACTACTGGTCCCTCTGCTTCAGGATTTTTAAATTTGGTTTCCCTTTGCCTGGGATGCTCTTCCTCCAGATATCCCTAGGGTGTGCTCCACTTCAAGTCTCACCTCAAATGTCACCTCCTCAGAGAAGCCTTCCCTGGCCACATCATCTAAAAGAGCAGCTCAACCCCTGTTACTCTCCATCCCTTTCCCCCTACATCATTGTTTTCATAGTTTTTATGGCCACCAGAGTAAACATCACATATTTACATGTCGATACAATATTTAGTACAGTTACTTTAATAGGGAAATATGCAGAGATAATATATTTATTAAATGATCACTGGGAAAGTCATGACGCATTTTTTTTTTGGAGAAGTTTTTG